GGAATTTTATTTGTTAAGTCACAAACAGATCATTACTGCACCTCTGACTCCTATATATCCCTACTGAGCAATTAAAAGGCTTTTCTCCTTGATTTTCTTCCCCCAAGAGATCTTCAAGGAATCCTCTGATTGAGGGCATCCCATTTTGACATTTTTTTCCATTATTATTTCAGAAGCCACTTATCCTAGCCATTGGAATAAAAATAGAATAGTCCTAATCTTTAAAAATGGTGAGAAGAGAGATCTTGCAGCATATCTTCGTATCAGTTTTATGCGTATTCCAGCCAAAATATTTGGGGGAGACACTCTCATCTACAAACATGGATTTCTGAAAATAACATTCTGGGAGAGGAACAGATCACTTTTAGAGAAGGCCATTCTTTCATGGATCACTTCTTAGTGTGCTATTATTTGGCATCCAAATATGTAAAAAGAAAAAATATTTTATACATAGCTTTAAATTGCTCAAGGGAGGTTTTTACTCCATAGACCAATTACAATTATGAAAGAAATGAGCAGTGACATCAATGGATAAAACTCTCCTACAAACAGTCATTGCTTACTATCCAAAGACAGCATCATAATACATGATGAGATCAGTGGTGCCTTGTTCAGCAGTTTTACAACTAACACAGAGGTACAACAAGGATGTCTGTTTACTCAGCTATATTTGAATCTATTCCTGAATGATCAATTCTAAAACATGGGGCTAATAGGGAATCAATTCAATGCACCCGTGATATTGAAATTCTGTCTTGCTTTATGCAGATGACATGCTATTAATGTTAAAATTCCAGACATGCCTCCAAAGGTTATTAGATGGTTTTTAGCAGTATTGTGACTCAAATAGCTTGAAAATCAAAACTGCTAAATTGAAGGTCCTGGTTTTAGAAATTAAAGGAGGTAGAAATTGGGGGAGGGGGGTGTTTAGGGAAAAATAAACTAGAGGTGGTGTCCTCAATTAAATACTTTAGAATCTATTTCAATAAACATGTGAGCTGGAATAAACACAAAGAAAATGTAAGTATTAAAATAAGCATTGAGGGAATTTTATAATTGTACAATAAGATGGGCAGAAGGGCAGTACTGGCAGTACTAAAGGTCTACAGATCTAAGATTAAGCCCATTTTATTGTATGGAATGGAACTATGAGGTGCTAATTCCATGGTTCATTCAAAAATAGAAACAATTTCTTACTACTTTTTTCAGGTGGCTTTTATCACTATCATATTCTACAACAAGGGATAGAAGGGTTCAGGTAATCTGAAATGGGGCTCCTTGATGTGAATACTTTAGCTCAATTAAGAACTCCAAATTACTAGACATAAATCAGAGCTTGCACCCCTATCAGATACTCTAAGAAGCATATTTTAGAAGCCTTTCCTCTTCCAAATAAACCTTTATTTGACTGATTAAATAACAGTGATATTAGCCTACAGATAAACATCCTAGGAAATGGGCTGATAAGTCACTAATGTAATATTACCCCTATATGTAAAACAGGATATACATTTAAATATTAACACCAGCTTGCAGAAAGATTTTTTCCAACTTCCCTTTTTTGGACTGAAGAAAGTACTCTTTTAGCCTACAAACCTACCTATCTGGTGAACAAAACTACAAACAGTGAGATGTCATTACTAGACTACGGCCACACACATTACAGGTATTGCACAATTAACTGGTTAACTACATAATTACCTTAAGACCAGCTACACATGATAAGAAGCTCCTACCAGTTTTAAAGTTAGACCTTGAAAACATGTACTAACTTTATAGCTGGTTACTCACAAGCTTTAACTTGCATGTATAGCAGTCTCCCCTGCAGCTGGGAGCCCCATCCACTGATGGCTCCCAGCCACAGGGATGCATCTTGCCCAGCATGAAACCCCTGAGCCCTGGGGATCACGGGGAGTGTGAAGCCCCCTGCCCACATGGGGTTCTTGGCCCCAGCTGCACCTCACATGCAGCCAGGGCTGGGAGACTTGTCAATTGTGGAACTCAGTCCCATCTGCACCCTATGGCTGGAAGCCGCCTAGCAATGGATACTTCCAACTGTGGGAGCTTGCTTCTTGTTAGTGCAAGAGGAGCCTAGGATCAGGTTCCCCCTCCAAAGGCAATAAGGCATGATTGGATCTAATGTGCAATCCCAGAATCATGCCTGCTGTCATACATATGTGAACTGTTCTGGCATCTAGCCTGGCTTCTAATCTTGCATGTGGGCATAGCCGCATTGATCTGAAGTCCAGTAGAAGGCAGGGTAGTAATTATTCCCCTCTCTGTTCAGCACTGGTAAGGCCACATCTGGAATACTGTGTTCAGTTCAACCCCCTTTCCCCACTCCAAAAAGGATGTGAACAAATTGGAGAGTCCAGCAGAGGACAGCAAAAATAGCGAGGGGGCTGGGGGACAGACTTCTGAGAAAAGACTGGGGGAACTCGGCTTATTTTGTCTAGAGAAGAGGAGACTGAGAGGAGACTTAATAGCAACCTTCTTGAAGTGGGGTTTGAAAGAGAATGGAGCTAAACTGCTCTCAGTGGCAGCAGATGACAGGACGAGGAACAATGGTCTCAAGTTGCAGCAAGGGAAGTCTGGGTTAGATATTGGGAAGAATTTTCTCACTAGGAGGGTAGTAAAACACTGAAACTGGTTACCCAGAGAGGCGGTGGAAGCTCCATCCTTGGGGGTTTTCAAAACCCGGCCATACAAAGCTTTGGCTGGGATTGGATAGCTGGGGGGGGGTCCTGCTTTGAGCAGGGGTTGGACTGGATGACGTCCTGAGGTCCCTCCCAACCCAAACTTCCTGAGTCCATGAGATGGGGGGTGTCTATCTACATCTAGATGGGTGTGTGTATATATAGGTGGTGCATGTGTTTTTATACATACATACATACATACATACATGTAAATAGGGGTGTGTGTGAATCTTGTGTACCTATATACAGATGGGGTGTCTCGAGCTATATATAGATAGGGATGTGTGTGTGTAGCTTGTGTATCTCTATATAGGTAGGAGTGTGTACCATTTAGCGGGGGAGCAGTGTGCGCATCCCCTACGCACGAGCTTTCCCCAGCTGCAGCTGCTTTACCGCCTCGCCGGTTTCTCTGGGTTACTGCTCCTTTGTCTGCCGCTCCCAGCCTCGTGGCCGACAGCCCGATTCCGATTCGTCTCCCTGCTCGCACGCCGCTCTCCGCCCGTCCTGTCACAGCGGCGGACAGGAGAGCTCGAGCC